TTCCAGCCCCTGGTCATAATTTTTTTTTTTTATGTGAATGAGTATATTGATATTGTCTGCATGTAAGTAGATGCATACATATTGTGCAGTGCCCTCAGAGGTCAGAAGAGGGTGTTATCACATTGAACTGGAGTTATGGTTGGTTGTTAGCTGTCATGTGGGTGCTGGGAATGAATCAAACTGGACCCTCTGTAAGAGCAGGTAGTGCTCTTAACTGCCAAGCCATTTCTCCATTTTTTTTTTTTTTAAAGTAAGACTCTGAATTCTAAAGACATTTCAACTATCTCTGCAATTTCTGGATTCCACTATAGGGAAGTTGGGAACAGGTTGTAGCTGATAGTTATGTAATATTGTGTTTCCTTGCTCTGTTTTGTACACATGTGGGAGTGGATTTGTCTAACTTTCCTTTCTTATAATCTATTTGGTTGTTTTGTTTTCTCCGAGTCTTCCTAGAGGGATATCTATATGAGGTTAAGGTAAAGATCTATTTTGATTCCAGAACAGTGTAGTAGCTGAGCTGCTCTGATTGTAGCTGGGTGGCAGTAGGACCACAGACAGGGTCACAGTGACCACCAGGGCAAGTAGACGAGAGTCAAAAACCCCAGGCAGCAGTGAACTCTGGGACGGCTGGAGCTAGAATCCTGGTTCTGTGGTGAATTCTGGGGCTGCTACAGTCAAAATACCAGTCCTGCTGTGACCTCTGAGACCACTGAAGACAAAGTCCTAGTCCCTTTGTGAACTCTGGGACTGCTGGAGCCAAAACCCTGGGCTCACACTCAATTAATCAAATAAACAAGGCCAAGAAATATGTGCCATATTTGATACTAAGGGACTCGACATTAAAAACTGTTAAAATGTATGAAGCAAGGTATTTTATGTAACATGTTTGCCCCCTAAGAATATGAACATTATTACCAAATGTTTTACAATATTGTAAAACACTGACCTGATTTCTAAAAGCTTTAGAAAGGTAAAATTATCAAATTTAACTGGAACTGAATATTACTTCTATTGAACCCATTATCATTCAATAGTCTGACATGTAACAAGAATATCTTTTTACAAGCCAGGTGGTTAGACTCATGCCTGTAATCCCAGCACTTGGGAGGCTGAGATCAATAGGTTACTAGAAGTCTGAGGCCAGCCTGGGCTAGAGTGAGATTGTCTCAAAAAACAAAACAAAATATATAAGAACAAACAAAAACCCCATCAAAATAAACCTCAAAACACACAGTGGAGATTGGAGAGATGGCTTAGTGGTTAAGAGCACTGACTGCTTTTGTACAGAACCCAGATTTGGTTCCCATCACCCACAGGGTGGCTAACAACTGTCTGTAACCCTAGTTCCAGGGGATCCAACACCTTCTTCTGACCCTGTGGGCATTGCATGACACAGGTGCATTCACACACATGCAAGCAATACACTCATACCCATAAAATTAAAATAATAAAATAGTAAATAAAATTAAAAGGGGGCTGGAGAGATGGCTCAGTGCTTAAGAACACTCACTCCTCTTGCAGAGGACCCAGGTTCGATTCCCAGCACCCACATGGCAGCTAACAACTGTCCGTGACTCCAGTTTCAAGGGATGCAACACTTCCTCTGACCTCTACAGGCACTGCACAACACACATGCAGGCAATACACTCATACACATAAAAAAAAAAAAATAAACAAAACACACACAGTGACCTACTGAAATTATAAACCAAATTTGGGACAAAGCATTCAAATTTAGTATAAAGTATTCAAAGTTTAAGGTAAATACTTCCCAATTGTTGACATTTGTATTTCTTTAATGAGACACAAGGTTTTAGAAAACCTAGTACTTCTCTCCTTTAGAACATTTATAAGTTCTTAAAGTTACTACATTTGCTGGCTGTAGTAAAACGCCTATTCTCTCGGTATTGCAATATAAACTAACATGAATATTTTGGGGGATTAATATTCATGATAGATAATATGTTCTCCCTCAT